TCAAAAATAAAAGTAAACTAAAATAACGAGAATCTGCAAAGTTATTAAACATATTTCTTCAATATTCTGCTATACATAATATTTGATGAATTTTCATTTTTTTCGTTTAATAATGGTTGGAGCTATAATGCAAAAGAAATAATAAATTTATCAGATGTAAAGAAAACATTTATAATTACAAGGCTTTGTGTTTCGTTACTGTTCAATAATTTTTTACTTTTTAAACGTTTTATATCATTCGATAATTTTGATCTATAATAAGTAAACTATAATTCATGCTTCCTACTTAATAAAATTATGTTTTTGCCTTTCATACCTTGTAGACAATAGTAGTTATATTACCTGTCGATGTTATACTGAACACTTTCGACGACATTATTCGTCTTTTCAGACTCAGGTAATTCCCAAACATCGTTTTCAGTTAATACATTCTTGTAACCTTGTCGTATTAATCTTTGAAAAAGAACCATTAACAAAACAATTAAAAACTTTCCTTACGTATATAATTGTTGATAATGATGATAATTTATTGTGAAAGACATGACCAGGCCCATTTATGACTTTTGCAATAAATCATCATCATCATCATAAACAATTATACCTAGGCTTCATGATTGAGATCACTTTTTTTTATGATTACTAATTAGATTTAAAAAGTGGTCTCAATCATGAAGTAGCCGATTATACTTGTATAATTGTTTATAGTTCTCTTCGTTTACCTTGTTATCCACCAAAATGTGATACGAGATGGAAACCACGCAGATTTCTCAGGATAAGCATACTAGATAGAAATAGAAGACTTATTAGCAAAAGCAGTAAATAATACTTTACGCTTACCTTATATTTAGGGAAATTCATAGCCTAAGTGGAAAAGTTTTAAAGAAAAACGCTTAGAATATTATTCGTTTGCCAGTAAAAGACAGTTCGGTTTGACCAGCTAATTCCAGCGCAGTGAAGTTCTCACACGTTTTTTTTCTCTTATAATTTTCAAATGGTGAGAAGCCCAGAGCTCTAAGGTACCTCAATTAAAAGGGAAGCATGTGCTAAAGATTTTGAACTGTTCTTGCACTATGCTCGATCGTCCTTTCAGAAGGTATGATAAAAATAGAAACAACTACTTTTTTTCTGATAATTTTTGAATCATAAATGATTGTAGTTAGTTGGCCAATCTGAATTAGCGAAAAAATGCATTTTTGTATCAATAAAGAGAAAATCATATTCACGCTTCGATAACTATCCCACACTTGAAGAAAAGTTACCTTTTTATTACGGTGACGGAAAAAGTAACTTTACAGCATAATGTACGGGATTTATCTTATTTGTTCGGCAGAGATAGTATAACATTCATTAATCAAAACAGAGCAGTTATTTTTACTCGGTCTTTTGACCGAGTGAAAATGTGTTTCCACAAAACATTTGAAAATGAATCGCGGAAAAATAATAATATGAAATTTCCTAAATATGTTTCTTCTATCCGCTCTAAAAGTGTGAAGCAGAAACTCGAACATCATTTGAGCAATTTTGTTCATGTTATTTCCTATGCTTGCTTTTCCGGAATCAAGGACGAAATTTTGAGGGGAAAAAAATTTATTTGAATGACAATTCGAAGATGAAGCAATTTTGTTGTCTAAGTAAGTTAAAGATTTCTTAGCTCTTCCTATATACAGAGAAGCCTGTTGTTTTTCTCAAAATTTATCATTTTTGCTTTAACATGGTTTACAAGTTATATACAGTTTCGCCGCTTGTGCACAGACTTTTGGATAATTTGATGGATTTCACATGGATACATTTGAACCAGTGAAGCAAATCTTGTCATAGTCTATGTATGATAGAAAAAGGTATTAGCTATAGTAGACAAAACTATTCGAAAAAAAAAACCGATGAAAAGTACTTAGACTATAATGATCATTCTCTATACAAAATTTTACTGCTGGGTCGCTGTTGTCTGTGTTTATTTTTAAGCAGATTTTCTGCGCACTAGCGCCACAGCCTAACTGAGAGATTTGCGACTAGTTTTCTAAACTACTCATATATTCTGTATTTTGAGGGGAGCCAGTTTTCGTTAACATTTAAGCAAACAACGGTATAGTAAAGATACATTATAACGACCGGCATGTACCAAATACAATCGAGAAATAAACTTACAGTTATACACAAAATGGTATAGCTATGCTGACACATGGAAAATTATCGATCAACGATAGAAAAGAAAAATATTTATATTATATGTAAATCATTTTTATCAACCAGTGAAAGAGAAAAATGGCTGTTATTTTATAGTCGAATGATATTTATAAGTGTATAGCAGAATATTGAAGAAATATGTTTAATAACTTTGCAGATTCTCGTTATTTTAGTTTACTTTTATTTTTGAAATTTTCACTTGCATTTTCGAATAAACCATTAGATCGTTTCAATTCATCATCATGCATCAATCAATCCTATCATATTCCGTTATTTTCGTCAAAATATATTCGAATAAATATTGATCAAAATAAATTGTTTCCATCTACAATCAACCAATTACATTTTCAAGCATTTATTGCAAATGATCGTGTGGCAAAGATAGTTGATGAGAAAGTGAAAATTACTAGTAGAACAAGTAAGATTTTTATAAAAAAAGCCATTCTATAACCGAGTGACAGACTAAGTGGATCATAAAGAATTTCTTAAGATAAATATTCATTGTAGAATAGAATTTTGAATTACAATTCGAGAAATGAAGCAGCAAATAATTTGTTGAACTTTTACTACTCAGCGATTTAATCTTTGAAAAGTAAAGATTTATCTACGATAAAAGTCTCTTGTTTTATAGAGAAAACCATGAATAATTATGGATACGTTAATAATTTCACAATGTATATAATTATAGTTCAGGTTAAATGATGATCAAAGGTATTGATCACAATCCTTTCGATCCTATATTGATCAGAAATTGCATAAATTAGCGATGTCCTTCGAAGTTTAATCAAAATTCGGTTGAAGAGAAAAAGAAAGCATGTATTGATTGCAGTCATCAGAAATCCTCTATCTAAAGTATTTCCTGTTAGTGCACACTGTTGTTTAACGATTTTTTCGCACTTTCTTACGAAATGGGAGTGATCTTCTTTTCCCTTCGTCCGTCCTTCACCATAATAACTTGCAAACCTTGATTGATTTTAATGAAACTTGATATAAATGTTAAAAGAATCAAAAGAGAGAGAGTGGTTTCGATAAGCCAAAGGGGTTGAAATTAAAGGTCAAACATTATTATTACGTTTTATAAGGGTGTCTTTTTTTAGCATACCTGGACACATGATTAGACATGCACCAATACCAATCATTATTGAAGATATTGTACAATATTACTGACTATCCAATAATAGTGCGTCCCAATACTATTGTATACCCGACATATAGGGACCAATATTATTGATCATCCAATAATATTGTACAGTAATATTGGATAATATTGAGTTCCACAATACTGAATTCTAAATTTTTAACCTTAATATTATTTACCGTCATAAAAACGTGAGGAAGCATACCCCGATCGGGATTAGGCATGCACCGATTAATGATCGGTGTTAGGGCATTCAGCAAAGTCGTTCCAGATCAGCTATAAAAAAGCAGCTAGAGCTGCCGAATGTCTCATTTTGAAGGAAAATGTTTACTCTACCAAACTGAAGTGGAAAAAGACATTTTAGTATTAACTGTGACAGAAATATAAGTATCCAAAACTGAGCAAAATTGCGAAAAAATACGCAGCTATCGATTATTTTTCTACGATTTTAGTGCGTTTTCGATTTATTATAGTTTCTTTATATATAATCATAAAAGTCTTCTAGCACTTCAGTTTGGTGGAGCAAACATTTTCCTACAAAATGAGATATTCGGGAGGTCTAAGCCCTTTTTTATAACTGATTCGCAACGACTTTGCTGAATACCCTAATATTGATTATTAATCGGTGCATGCCTAAATGGGTTATATTTTGATGCAAAACGGGT